GGAGCTGCCCCCCATCACCACCACCACGCACCCCCGTTCACAGCTTTGGCCCAAATTTGGAAAGAAATCCTTTTTCCCATCGTCAGACGCGAAAAAATCGGAGTTTTGGGGGCGATAGAGGCTGCGTTGAGCTCCCGGAGCCGCATTGCAGCCTTTCCCTCATTGCTCGCGTTTTTTGTTTTTTGGTTGTTTTTTTTTTTTACCTTTGCGTTACTCTGCGCCTTTTTCAACTCTCCTTTAACTTAACGGAGTCTCTCCGCATCTCCATCCGAAGCTCCGTTACTCCCCCGGGTTCCAAACCGCAGCGCATTGCCCGCACACAAACACCTTTCATTCCCCACCAGTGCCACAATTCCCTTTTCCAAAGCTCTGCCGTAACCCCCCCCTCTTCCCCCCCACCTTTCTTTCTTTCTTTTTCCTTTTTTTTTTTTTTTTTTTTTGGATGGGGGGGGGGCGGGGGAGGAGATGTGCTACAGAACTTTGTTGGAAAAATTCACGGGAACATTTCAACACCGAATAAACTCTCCCCAAATCCCCGGGTCACCTTCGTGCTCTTTCCCATCTATGAATTACGCTGCGCAAATTCGCTCCCCGTCATCAAAAGGAGGGGTCCGAACTCCGAGCTCGATTTTGGGTCCCCGCAGCCCTCGATGTTGGGGGTCGAACGGCTCCAACACGGTTTTCAATACCACCTCAAGGAACATAATATCATTCCATAACTCTTTGACTTAAGTTACTCCGAAAGAAGGAAGCGGGGTAAGAGGGATTGTAAAGTTTGATAGATTTCTTGTGGTGATAGTTTACAGTTTCTAAGCCAACATATAAAGGCGTGGGTTTTATTTTTGCATCGCTGTTATTGTACTCCAGTGTACTTTGTCATAAATCAGAATTATTTCCGCTACAACACGGGGCATAATGCCGGGCAGAAATACAAATTTAAGGTAATCATTAAAGTGTTGCTACCAAACACTTCCTCCAAGCGAAAATGAATGTTTGTCATAAAACGGTAAGAAAACTTGCTAAAAAATACAATGGGCGTAAGAAGCGCTTTCTCCACATAACTCACGGTTAAATAATTAGATTGAAAAGGGGACAGGTAGAACAACCACGAGAAAAGTCTGAGGGATCCTTTGTCTTCTTCCAATGGTCCGCATTGACGCGGTGCTGCGCCAGAGGGGCTTCGATGTCCCTCTGCCCTCTGCTCCCCTCTTCCCTCCGCTCCTTTGGGGTCGGTATGGGGACAATGGAGGAGCCGGGGCCGCCCCATCCTCCGTCGGGCCGCAGAAGGAGGGCAGTTCGGTCCGCTTTGAGGTTCCGATCCGGGATCGGTCCTCATCCCTCAGCTTTGGATCCGCGCCCCCGAAAAGTGCGTAAAAACCCGCAGCGCGTTCTGAAAGCCCTCGCGGCGGGCAGAGGTTCCCCTTTTAAGTTTTAATAGCGTTTGTTCGTATTTATTTTCTGTAATTAGAGCGAAGCATTTTTCCCAACGGGGGTTCCACTTAGGCTGATGAATTTTATTTCCCTTCCCATTAATGACCCATGTTTATCATACTTCTAATTATTTTGAACCTTAAACAATATTCCCTCGCCCGGAGACGCCTCCGTGCCGCTCTCTAACGCCAACTCTCCATTGCCACGGCCCAAAAAAGCCCCAACCCGGCCAAGTTTTACGTGACCCCCGCGGAACACTTTGACCAACGCAACTCTTTTTCACCTCCTCGGCCTTTTTTTTGCTCCCGAAGATGCTGACGAGCAACTTGCGGAGCTGCTTCCGAACCTCCCCATCACCTCATCGAAGCTCCGCTCTGCAAAAAGCGGTGACCGAAACCCCCCGTGCGCGGTGTAAATCTTCATTTTACACTCCCAGCATTTACACGTTCATAAAAGATGGGGATTCCACCGCCGCTTTCCCTCTCTGCGACCTGGAGGAGCTTCGCTCGAGGTGATGCCCTCCTTTGCGGAGGAGAAAATTCGGATTTAATGCCACGTTTCGCCGTGCGATGCAATTCGACCGGCTCTGCTTCGAGAAAAGCACACCGGGAAATAGGGCGAAAAATCGGGGCCACACTTTGAACCTGGGGGAGGACAACGCAGGGAGAGAAGGGGACAAATTTTGGTGTGTCCCCCCTCCAGCCCCCC